TGATAATGTCCTTTGTCTTGGAAATATTCTAGGTTCAGTCTCTTGTATCCCTATTTTGAAATAGGCTTTTTATTTATTTATTTATTTATTTATTTATTTATTTATTATTATTATTATTATTATTATTATTATTATTATTATTATTATTATTATTATTATTATTATTATTATTATTACAGGTTAAATCTCCCTTATCTAGAATTCCAAAATCCAAAATGTTCCAAAACCCAAAACATTTTTCATGGGCGACTGAAACAGAGACCCCTTTGCTTTTCTGATGGTTCCCTATACACAAATTTGGTTTCATGCACAACATTATTCCAAATAATGTATAAAATTACCTTCCGGCTCTGTGTATAAGGTGTATACTGTATATGAAACATAAATGGATCTTGCGTTTAGGTTTGGCGCCCACCTCCAAGATACGTATTTTGTATGTATATGCAAATACAATAATAATAATAATAATAATAATAATAATAATAATAATCTAAAAAACCCCTCCAAAATCCAAAACTAAGCATTTTGGATAAGGGAGACCTGACCTGTATTTGGTTCATTTGCCTCCTGCCTTTCCCCCAATCATAAAATTCAAAGGCTAACATATTTAAAACAAGACAAATTAAAAACAAGACATTAAAAGCATTAAAAGTATAAATTAAAAAAAAATTGAGCAATCCATGGAGTTAAAATATATATATTTTAATCTTAGCTTTTTATTTTAATATTGTATTTTGTTCTTTTTAAAAGGGGGGTTAATTGTTACAAGGTATGTTTTATTTAAACTGTTTTAGACTATTTAAGCCGCCTTGATTGCCTAGGCAAAAGGCGGGATATAAAAATAAAGTTGTTTATTATTATTATTATTATTATTATTATTATTATTAATTATTATATTAAAATACATTAAAGGACTGTATTGTTGTTCTTGTGTGCCTTCAAGGTGGTTTGGACTTATGGCGGCTCTAAGGCCAACCTATCATGGGTTTTTCTTGGCAAGATTTGTTCAGAGGAGGTTTGCCGTCCATTTCCCCTGAGGCTGAGAGTATGTGACTTGCCCAAGGTCACCCAGTGGGTTTTATGGCCATGATAGTTTCACCATGATAGGGTCGCCATTTAAGTCACAACCACGACAACAACGGTTTTTAAAACCATTGCCTGGAAAAGAAGCCAGTGGAGCTTTGAAAGCTTGCATCATGTATTTTGTGCATTTTGGTTGGACCTATAAAAGTATCGCTGTTTTGTGGATTTTGGGTGTTGTTGTACCCTAATAGCTGTGCGACATGGTTGTTAGAGGAAGGCTTTGGTCATAGGATCCTAGAAGAGTGGGAAGAGACCCCCCCAGGGTCATCCATCCCAACCCTCTAACATGCCTTTGTCTGTCGAAGGGCTAGGAAAAGTTCCTTTTCCAAAAGTAACTTGTTCAGGCTTTCATTATTCTTAGGAGGTTTGCAGAAGTACTGCAGCTTGCAGGATGCAGAGGAGATGTTTGCAAGCTGAGAAAAGCGTGGAAAGAAAGGAATGGGCCAGAGGAACAAAGGCGCAATTGTGCAGCCTGGCATGGGCATGGTGCTGGGTGCGAGATCCAATCACACTCTTCTCTCCATGGATGCCACCCATCGCCTGATCTCCTTGGCAAACTCTAAGGGCAAGGAGCAAGACTTTTGGTGTTACACTTGTTGTTGTGTGTCCTTAAAGTCATTTTTGACTTATGGCAACCCTAAGGCCATGAACCTAAACCCTATCATAGGGTTTTCTTGGAGGTTTGCCATTGCCTTCCTTTGAGGCTGAGAGAGTGTGACTTGCCCAAGCTCACCCAGTGGATTTCAGGGCCGAGCTGGGATTCGAACCCTGGTCTCCAGAGTCAGAGTCTAACCCTCAAACCATTACGCCATGCCGGCTCTCAGCAGTATTCGGTGGGAAAGTTCCTGTTGGACTACAGATCCCAGAATCCACTTTGCTGGGGAGGGAAGGGTTTGCAGTGCAATGAGAACTCCCCTCTGTAGGCCCTGGAGAGCACTTGGAGGTAGGATTTTGGGTATTGTGATCCACAGAATTCCATTGGTATTCTGGTGAGCAAGCTCCTGCAACGGCTGACTGGGGATAATGGGAGCAGTAGTCGCCATCAACCCACCCACCTAAAGGAGCGTCTCCTCCAAGCCCTGACAAGGACTGTCTGGGCTGGGGATCCTGGCAGTGGTAGTCTAAAAAGTTTGGGGGGACACCCGAACTCTGGCAAATGCAATGTTGGGGATTCTGGGAGTTGTAGTCCTCTAGGAACACCACCAACCACCCCAGCTATTGGGAAATGTAGCTCAAAAAGGAACATTCCTGGAACTCTGGAGGGAGGAGGCTGACCTCCTTTTCTGGCCAGTTGTCAAGGAATGCCCAATAAGCACTGGCTGGGGATATTGGGAGTTGCAGTCCAAACAAGAACTCCCCTCAAAGTCTGGTGAGGAAGCTCTAGCAAGCACTAACTGGGGGATTCTGGGGGTTGTAATCTAGAATATAATCACCCTC